GTTCCTTTACAAGACTTGAATTCTTGTATGTGCTTGACAATTACGGGACATCCGTTATGTGTGTACTAACACATTAACTTCGGGATAGGTATGTCAGTACTCAACATTGCACTGCAACCCGAGTTTTCTGCCCCCGGAGTTATGTTGGAAATTTCCAACACTAATAAACTACTATTGTATTATAATAAATCATTATCATTATATACTAACTACAGTAGTTACTAATTTTACTAGCGGTAGTGTCAAAATAAATTAACCATTGCATCTGCGTATTAATGCTAGAATTCTCATGAAATCGAGTTGCAATATTGTGTCAGATAATGTCCTGTTAGACACATTTATTACCAATGGGTTAGAGAATTGAATGTGGTTCTCTAAAATCATCAGTATTCCATGTAATAATTACTTACGGATAATATAACTCCCAATAATCTCAAACCGAGAGTTATTAACTAAATCATTATGTAGTAACAGTCCTTTCTGTTACGTACGAACGTCATGGAGAAAATAAAATCTTCTCCATTTCTCATTTGACACCATAAAACGAGAATATGATAATATTTAAATCCCTATAATTGCAACCCAGTTCTCATTAACGTATTACATCCATAATTGCGCGGAAAAGAATTATTCGTGATTAATAATTTCTGTGGTGAATGCAAGACGGGTTGAGGGAGGCGGCGACGCCATTGTGTAGCCCGTCGTGGAGAGAGAGGTATCCCTGGCGTGAAGAGTGGCGAGACACGTGGTAGTGACTGGGGAATTTATCGGCAAGAATTACGCTGATACTCGGTCAACAGTTAATAATTACTTATCCACGTGTTCTATAGTGCCCAGCCAGTTAATAACGCATCAACAATTGAAGCCAAGACCCGTAATTACACGTACACAGCAGTGAACGTCAGGGACTAGCTGACGCGGTTCCAGCAGACCTCAGTATTCAATACGCTCATGATAAGTATATGTTTCTCGTTTGATGCAACATCCAAGATTATATATTTGTGAGTAGTTTGTCGTCATATAGTGGGATTACCCAATATACAACGTTAGTACTAATTCGGCAATTTTCTCCGTTTTCATGAATATTGAAACTATAACGTAGCCTATTCAAATGCTACTTAATTTTCTCTGATTTCAGCATGTATGCGAGGAGTCATCAAGTTGTTTCTCTTCATTCGTGTTATTCACCTCTAGTTCTTTCTTCGTGGAGATCCTGTGAACACGAGGACGAATGACGAAACGATGTTATAGAAATCGTCTTAAAGCTAAGACCCTTTTCCTACAAATTTATTTTATATGATTTGATTCTTATATAATTCTTGTAGAATCTTTGCATTGAATAGATTATTACCAGAAATTATGATTGGTAATCAATGTGTTTGCTCTGACTGTTGCTCAGTAATTTATAATCTTTAATATTCACAATTTGAGTTCTCATATTTGAATCTATAGTAGTTTAGATTTATAATATCATTTACTCAGCAATGAACTGGTGGCGAACCACACTAGTTCCTAGATGTATATGAATTTCTAGAAATACCCTCCCAACGTAGGTCTTTGAGGCTCTGACTTTAATTAATTAATAATACAGTCCTTTCAATATTTCAAGTGATTATCCTTTTAATAATTTTCCATAGACACTGGTTCTCTAGTGTTATTCTAATGATCACTTTTATTAGTTGTCCCCCTTTTCTCAAAAGTGGGTGGTCCTTCGAATTATTAAATCAAATAAGTAAATAATTGAATATATGAGTCAAGCCCCAGATATCCCACACTAATGGTGCAGTGATTTGCACCGATTCCAAAGCAGCACTGCAAAGCCTAAATAAAAATCGGGCAGAAAATCTTGCCATTGTCGGTGAAATTAAGAGAGCTGTGAGAGTACTTACCAATCAGGGAAGAGTCATCAATTTTCTGTGGATCTCCTTCCATGTTGGAATATGTGGGGATGAACGAAGAGATGTGCTGGCTGCTGAAGGCGCTGAAGGAGATCATATTGAATACTTCATACCCAAGACTTTACTACATTTTAGAGGTTTTGTCAGGCAACATCACCGTGACAAGGAAACTGAGGAAAGGAGGATAGAAGCACAAACCAGTAAATCTATACGATGATACAACATGGTTGCAGCTGGCAATCCCAATCATTATGGCTGAAGAGGAGGAGGACGAGGAAGAGAATCAGTAATTTCGAGAATCCGTCTTGGATACAAATATCCATGGAGATATGGAATGGAAACAACAGTTGATCAGCTAAGTTGCAGAATCTGTGGTGAGAGTGATGGACACCGCCTTGACCATGATCAACGTGAATGTGAACACCTGAGAGAAATCAAAAGTATGTGTAGAATAATAAACCCCCACATTGTTTGAGTTAGGAAAACTGTTTGTCAAATATTGATACTGTTCTTAAAAGATTTTCCCATTTTGCAAACGCAAGATAACGTAAGCTTTTAAGGGTTGATAGATGTTAATCTTCTTGTTTGAGGAGCTGTTCACTTGAGACAGTTAAGCAAGTCCCAGCTGTGTCTGGGTACAAGTGACAGGATGAACAACCCAGCGGGTTTTCTTCCTATTGGGGAGTGTTGTACATGCTGCTATGGCGGTGTGTCCACTCACAAGATGAGTGGCGCTGCCCAATAAACTCGCCTCTCGTGGCAAAATTTAAAAATTTAAAATTAAACCTCAACCCTTTAAGAAACTAAGTGCAAAAAATAATTAACCACAGCTTCTTCAGCATTTCCAGAGCCTGACGTCAAATTACCCCATATAAGTCTACCTGCATTCTCTGGTAGTGAGAAGGAAAGTTGGGATGACTTCTGGAAGAAATTTGTGGATGCAGTAGACTCCAAAACTAACATTCCTAAAACAACCAAGTTCACTTTTTTGCAAGGTTTATTATGAGATGAAGCTTTGAAAGTAATCTCAAACATAACCCTGACTAGTGATGGTTACGACCTAGCTGTTCAATTGGTTAAGAGGAACTTTGGTAACACAGAAAGGACTATTACAATTTTAATCCAAAATTTACTGGACCTACCAGCTGCTAACAATTTTACAGATTCTCTTCAAACCTTCAGACTAGAACTAAAGTTTCTACTCAAGGCCCTAAGCCTCGAAGTACAAATTCAAACAGCTGAACGGATGACAGGAGTAGTTATAAGGCATAAATTACCAAGGGAAACCTTAGACAAATTGTGTACTTTGTACAATAAAGTCTTTCTGACCATGAACGAGATCACAGGAGGTGCCATGCTCATTAGGGGGCAAGGCACCCGAAAATCCGAAGAAAAATGGAATATTTACGAAAAAATTACGAAAAATACTACAACGTTCTGGCAACACTGTGGTGCAAACCGTTTTATGTTATCTTGAAAAATAACGTAATTAGAGTCAAATTTCCCGCTGCAACTTTCGTGAATCCGGTCCTCGCGGCGTGGGTGCGCCGCAGGGTATTGTATCTTACGTTGTAGAAGTCTAATATTTCGTAATAGCGTTGAAAATAACATGTTATGCATAAAACGAATATAAACTCACTCATTGGCAACAGTCTCGTATGAGAGAGAGGGTGGGATTTGTGGCTTAGTAGTCAGTCACTGTGTGTGTCCCTCAGGAAGTGGATGTATCGTTGACGCGCTCTCACAATATCTCCCAGAACTCGTGCTATTTCTGCTATTTGTACTGCAATATGACGTACCAAATGAACAAGAGAAAAGCATTGAAAGCTAGATGCATGCGAGCTCTCCATAGAAGGTACGAGCTGGCTGCAATGCATAAATCATGTATTGTCACAAGTGAAGATTGTGGCGGCCTCTCAGCCGCGAGTATGAGTAACTTGTCGCGGCGCGCTACGCCACTCCAACTTTTACAACTAGATCTGCCTTCACAGCCTTTATTTATTATTCAATTTACATGAAACTTGCACATTATATGTAGAGTTGATGCCTCTAAAAACACATGTAGTTTTTCTTATTTACGTAGATTTATTGATTTTATAAATAATGATAAACTTCATTTTGTTGTATACGTTTTTGGGAAACTTTAAAAATCTGTATTATTGCACTAAATACATCTGGGATAAAAACCCTTGGTGCAAATCTTTATTATATAGTAAGGTCATAGCTGAGTGTCATAGAAATGATCTTGGTTCACAATTGTGAGCTGTGAAAGCAATTGAACATTCTTGAAAAATTGTATAATTTTTTTTTTCTCCTTCTCTATTTAGGCTGAGATGCTGAAACTTGGCCTAGTTGCAGCACCTTTCACATGTATCAGGATAATAAATTATGAATACCCTACAACAACTCTCATAGTTCCTGTAAGATAGCCCCTTAGTCGAAAGACAAAGAGCCAATCAAGATGGGCAACTACTGCAGTAAAACCAAATTCCAACAAACCTTCTCCTAAATGGAAATCTGGAAATGTAGGTATATACACCGTGAACCCATCAACCCAGTAGTGAGTGCCACTCTTACCACTTCTCTTGCAATGAAGAAGTGTTTGTCCTGCAATAATGAACATCTTACTTACAAGTGTAGTACTTACCCAGACTGTAATTCCAGTGCACATCGTTTGCAAGAATTACACCGATGCACAAAGTGCATGGCTCCTCATGACCCTAATAGCTATACTATCTCCTTACGTATGTGTAACAAGTGCAACATGGGTAGACACCATTACTCCATGTGTGGTAATGATCAATCAAGATCAACTAATCCTCATAAGAATTCTAGAAAATTTACATCTGTACAGTATTGCAAGGTACATCAAGACATAAGTGTACTTGCAACAGAGTCATGTAACACAACTACATTACCAACGGCTCAATTAAAACTAATCACCAAAGGATCTAGGATTTCCACTCGTGGAAATCGACTTGAGAATGGTCCAGGACGGACCGAAACGTCGTCGTCCCTTCACTTTCTAGTGTGTGGTCTGGTCAACATTCCACTCATGGTCTCTTTGACCAAGGTTCATAGAAAACCTTTATTTCTCAACAGTTAGTTGATCAGTTGAAACTGAAGCCTACTATTCAAGTGAATATAAATATTTCTGGATTACTAACCAACAGTGGACCTCGTAACTACCAAGTTGTTAAAGTGTTGGTACGTTTAAGAGGCTGCACCAGCTCAATACAAGCCATAGTCGTCGTTGACAAGATTCCCTCTGATCTACATTTTACCGATCTTGCTCACACAGTCAAATTTCTTAAATGCAGCGGTAGAGGCTAGCTGACCTTAAAATAAATACAGACTGCCTCAACAACGTAGGTATTCTTATTGAAGCTGACTACTTCTGTAGATTTATTAATGGATGTACCAGGCAACGAGGTGTAAACTTGTTGCCGTCAGCTGGGGGTAAACTACTCACAGGACTGGTGTTGATCCAACAAAAATCTAAATCTATTAATAATCAACAAAATAATTCAATAGTAGCATGACTAGGCCTAGAGCAGTCAACACTACACGTCAGCGACGAAACTGAGGATGATGAGTCTAATTCCCCTGTATACAAATTATGGGATTTGAACACCTTGGGCATAGTCCCAGATCAACCTAGTCCAGACGACTTATGGACTGGCCAACAATATCTTAATACTGTTATTTTCAAGATAATCAATATTGGATGAGAGACCCGTGGAAGCTGAACCACCCACAGCTTCCAGTAAATTATTTCATGGCCTCAAACCAATTAAATTCACAGTTAACTAGGCTATGGAAACAACCAGATAAATTAAACTGTATCATGACATAATACAGCAACAACTTACTAATAGGCTTATAGAAGTTGTTGACCAAGACAACAATAAATCAGGCCATTACTTGCCACATCATGCTGTCATGAAAGTTTCAGTTATGACACCAATCAGGATTGCATTCAACTGCAGTGCCAAATTAAAGGCAGACAGCATGTCATTACATGATTGTCTACAAACTGGCCCTAGTCTAACTCAATTACTACAGGATTTCTTGTTACGATTTCGTTCCGGCATTTTCGCCTATACGGCCAACATCAGTAAGGCCTTTTTAAGTGTAGGCTTGCAAGAGACGGATCGTGATTTTACTAAATTTCTATGGGTGAAAGATCCACAGGATTCCAATATCGACGTCATTACTTATAAGTTTGCCTCAGTACTGTTCGGAGCAACATCTTCACTAATCTTACTCCAGGCTACTCTGGATACACATCTTAAGAAGTCTAATAGCTCTTATAGGGCTGAGATTAGCAACAATTTTCAAGGCGCCACTAATGTTGAAAATAAACTAGTGGAAATTTACCATGAGGCTAACCGTGAACTATTAGGAGCTTTTATGCCCTTACAGTTGTGGGCGTCAAATAACAAACTGAACTAGATAATCGAGGAAGAATTCCCTGATTATAAGGTGCCTCACAAATTGAAAGTATTAGGATTGGAGTAGAATACTTCCACAGACAAATTAAATGTCAAGTCGGTGGAAATCAACAATTCACCCCTAACTATGAGAAAACTTCTTTCCCATGTCAGCAAACCATTTGACCTTCTAGGCCTACTCAGTCCTATTCTAATTAAGGGAAAACTCCTCATGCTGGAGTGCTGGCAAAATAACATGGGGTGGGATGAAACGTTGCCGGAGAATCTCCAAGAAAAATGGTAAAAGTTAATTCCAGGTTACAGAAAACTTAGTATTCTACAGTGTGACGGGAAAGTGTTGAAGTGTTGATGTTCGGCAGTCCTCCAATGGCAGGTGTCAAAGCCTGGTCACACTTTAAACAAAATTATAGACTGCTTGCCTGTTGTCTGTGGTAAGTTAGAGGGAGGAACTCGTAAAACACAAAATATGAACAATGAAACTAATATATTTACTTTAAACAAATGAAATTATAGACAAATCTCGGGAAGTTAAATTACAGTTAAATAATAAAGAAAATGCAAGGACAATGTGAAATACAAAATACAATGTTAAAATGGTGCTGAGAATATCGGCTATGGCTGAAACCTCCCTTCGTATACGAGCTAATGAGCGAGTATGCCAGAGAGAGGTGTCAACCTTAAGAGCACAAGGAATATTCTGAAGTGGATTGCTGGTCAGGCTCAGACGTCGATTCGTGTAGAGGGCGCTGAGGTGCTGTGTGCAGGTGCGTGGCTGGCGAGTCACCAATCACAGGCAGGCAAGCTGGTGAAGGGTAGTTAGCTGGTTTGATGACGAGCCGGCGCGTGGAGTGTGTGTGGAGTAGGGGGATCTTTGATATGTTTTGCCTCCTGTACAAAACGTTTTGTGCTACTGGTGATGTATCTTGAATGTAACATCTTATACTTTTGTCTTTTGCGTAACTTAAAGTAGGGAAGAGCAGGCTCAATCTCTCTTGAAAGAGATTATCGTCACAACTCTCCCCCGAAGCCTGCGGTTCCGGTGAAGTTACGTCATCAGGAGGTAGAGTGGTAGGTGGAGCAGCCTCTACCTCATTGACTCTGGAGAGGGCGTCTGCTATGATGTGGTCAGACCCCTTGATGTAGATGTCTCCAGGTTGAAATTCTGCAGATATCAAGCCCATTGTAGAAGCCGTCGATTGTTGAATTGGGCTTGCTGCAGGAAGTGTAGGGTGTTGTGGTCCACGTAGATGGTGGTAGACCGAGCACTTTTCAGGTATGGTTCGAAGTGCTGAAAGTTCAGGACGATGAGTAGCTCCCTGTCGATTGTGCGGTGGTTCCTTGTAGCTGTAGTCGCTAACAGGTAGATTCTCCTCGCCTCGTTGTTGCATTAGGTCACCCCCGATGCCGGTACCACTGGCGTTGACATTGAGGATGAAAGGCTTCGTGCTATCTGGCGAGGTGAGAATAGGATTAGAACATGGCAAAGGAGCACTATTATAGTCCTGTAAATTGGGATGAAGATCAGGTAGGATTTCCGATTTGGAAAGCACCAATTTAGTGTTAATGCTTTCGGGAGAAGCAGGGAAGGTTTCACTGTGGAGATGTGGACCTTTAGATATAGGGACAGATATCAGCACAGTAGGGGGAATACCTTGATACTGTAACACAGCTGGGTCTTCTGCCGCCTATCTGGAGTCTCGAGAACGTAGTGGTTCCTGCACTCCTTGATACAGTAGGGTCCTGAAAACTTGTTTTTCAATAGAGAACCTAGGATAGGAAGGTATGCCAATATGAAGTCTCCTGGTTTAAATTTCCTTAATTTGCTACTCTGGTCAAAATGAGTCTTCATCCTCTCTTGGGCTTTCACTAGGTTGTCATTAGCAAATTTACGGACTCTCTCTAGAATGTGTTTTAAGTTTTGAAGAAACCGAGGCACATTCTGATGGTCACTGAATTTGGCATTACGTAGAGAGTCCTTGAAAGCTTTAAGAGGAGTACGGCACTTACGTCCGTAGAGCATCTCATAAGGAGATACTCCTAGTGACTCATTGGGGAGACTTCGAAAAATGCACATTTTGAGATCAAGTTGTCTATCCCAGTCCTTCAAAGTCTCATTGCACAATTTCTTTAAGAGTGCTTTAATAGTCTGATGACTACGTTCAAGAGAACCCTGTGAAGCAGGATGATAGGGGCTGGACAGTACCTGTGTGATGTTGAACTCTTCCAGAGTCTTCTTGAAGAGATCACTGGTGAAGTTGGTGCCACAGTCACTTTGAACCTCTTGGAAAATCCATACTGGGTGAAGATCCTCAATAGATGTTTCACCACTGTAGCAGCCGTAATGTTCTTTACTGGAACTATGGGAAACCTGGTGGTAGGACACATGATAGTTATATATGCGTTGCCAGAACTGGTCCGGGGTAAAGACCAACAGTCTATGATGAGTCTGTGGAAAGGTTCCGCAGGCACCTGCATGGGTTTCAGAGGAGCCTGGGGAATAGAGATGTTAGGTTTACCTGCCATCTGACATATATGACACTCTTGGACGTATTTCTTTACGTCTTTTACCATACCTGGCCAGTAGTAGTCTTGTCCGATTCCGTGGTAGGTTTTGTTGAAGCCATAGCGAGAAAGAGCTCCGTGGGCCAGGCGTAGAATATCGGGCCGTATGCTGGTGGGAATCACTAGTTCGACATTGGCCCAATCGTCATCCTCCTTTAACTTGCTGGGTCTGTATCTGCGGCAGAGCAATTCATTCTCTAGGAAGAACCCAGGGATACTGTCAGGTTGAGTCTCAGCCTGAAAGAATAATGGTGTTAATTATTGAACTTCCCTCTGTAACTTACGGAACTCCAACTTGGTAAGATTGGGAGGTAGATTCTGAGGGTCTTGAGGGACAGCGGTAGCAGTAGAGTCAGCTGGTTGCGGTCGTGCAGCTTGTGCACGGGTGGTCACCAAAACCGGAGGAGAAACTTTATCACTCTTGAACCTCGGCTGGGACATATTCAAAGATAGGATTATCCATTACAGAAGTACACACCTGGGGTTTGTCCGTGATGATCAGGTTGGGCGGTTGCAGATTTTCTGCCAAGTCGTTGCCAAGGGGAAGTTGCACTCCAGGCATGGGAAAAGGCTTTTCCCTGATGGCGACATGGACTTCACCGGTCACGAAGGGACAATCCAGGTGGACTCTGGCGAGTGGATATGCAGTAGTAGCAGTGAGGTCAGTGATAAGGACGGTTTCCCAGTTATAGGTGACGTTATTCACAACCGATTTCAACATAATGGACGGAAGAGCCGCTGTGTCCTTCAAGATCTTCAATTTGAAACTTCCCTCCGAATCTGTACCGTTGGTAGAGACAGTTCCAGGATACAGGTGTTTACTGAAGAGAGAAAGATCATTAACATTAACACCAACATTCATTACAGGCTTATCGGACTTAGGAGGAGTCTGTTTGGGTTTAGTAGATTCATTGCTCTTGTATTGAGCCTTCACACATCTATCTATGGTATGTCCATAGAGTTTGCAATACTTGCAATACAATTGTGAGCTCGCTTCATCAGTACTCACTTTATCGTTGTACCAAGACTTTACTGGGAGGTGGTGATGGTGTCGGCCGGTGGATGAGGCTGAAGGTGTCAGCCGACTTCGCACATTTGATGTAGTGAGTTTCTTCTTTATCTGCTAGATATAAGCGGACGGAAGGGGGAACACGTCTCAAGAATTCCTCAACTAGCATGAGGTTGATGAGTTCTGCAAAAGTAGAGACATGTGCTGCTTCCAGCCATTTCATAAAATATCTTTTCTTTGTATTGTCAAATTCTAGAAAGGTGGTGGTACTTGCCTTAAGATGGTCACGGAATTTTCGTCGGTAGCTTTCGGTGGAAAGAAGGTAGGCGTCCAACACTGCTTGCTTCAGGGTCTGGTAGTCATTCTCAGATGCTAAGGTACTGAGAGTAACTGCAGCTCTACCTGTAAGAGGCACTCTGAGAAGGGTAGACCATTGGTCAGCAGGCCAGCTAAGTTGATTAGCTAGAGTCTCAAAGGTGGTAAAAAAGACGTCGATCTCTGTCTCAACGAATGGTGGCATTAACTTACTTGCATGGGAGATATTGAAACTTACTGGAAGACTGGCGGTAGCTTGCTGGCGTTCAGTGAGGTGCGTAGTTTCCAACGCAGGTTCTTGTTTACGACATTCTATAGCCATAGCAGCTTGCTGTTTGTCATGCTCACGTTGCATCTCCAGGTGACGATGTTTTGCTTCAAGCTGTACTCACGCTCACGGAGTATTATTGTCTCACGTTCCTGTTCTTTCCTCAAGGCAGCCTCTCGTTCTTGTTCTTTCCTCAAGGTGGCCTCTATTTCAGTTGTAGGGCTTCTTTTGCCAGGGCAGCCTCCCTTTCTTGTTCTTCTTTCCTTATTGCAGCTTCGTCTTTTCTCTGCTCTTTCGAGCATGGCGAGTTCTAGTTTGAGTTTCATAGTCGCCAAATCAGTTTTATCTGCAATAGAATAAGTTTCGTGAGTTTCAGAGTCAATCTTCCCTTCTTCTAAGAGGTAATCCATGATGAGGTTATGTATTTCCTTTTTGTTGGCTCCATGGGGAACATCTAGGTGATACTCGTGTGCAAGAGTTTGTAATTCAGTCCTCTTGGCACGACATAATGTCCCTATTTCACCAGCTGGGTCGTTACGGAAAGCTTGGAGACGAAACATGGTTAAAGATAGCAAATAAATGTACACGAATATAGTTGTGATATGGTAAATGTCAGAAACAGGATAATGTGGCAACTGGTAACTATCCTGTGGAATTTTAATCTTTAACAATTAAAGTTAATTATAGGATGGTAAATGATTAGTCAATCAAAGTCGCAGGAAATCTTGTACCCGGTACTCAATGTAAGAGAATAAGGGCAAGAAAATCCTACTAAATAAGTGAAACTGAGTTTCTAAAACAAATGAAACATTTAATTGCTCCAAAAGTGAATTAGGCAGTCCAAGAA